ACATTATAATTTGCATGAATCTTAAGCAACATAAAAATTATAACCAACAATAAAAATAAAGATAAATATAAGATGAAAGTAAAAAAAGTTAAAGAGATAAATGAAGTTATCAAAGAGCCTACAGCCTATTTACTCTATTTTTCTATTTAAAATAAAATCAACAGTTAATATGATTACAAAACAATTGACTGTAATAATGTTAAGTGATGAGAATACTTGCCTATTTATTATTTAAAATAAATTGAAATCAAACAGTTAATATTTTTCAAGAATAAAGTTGGCTGTAATAATAGTAAAACAATAAAAATACTTGCCTATTTATTATTTAAAATAAAATGAAAATCAATCAACAGTTAATATGTTTACAATAACAATGGTAATGGTAGTAAATAATAAAAATACTTACCTTTTATTTATATTTAAAATAAATGAAAATCAACAGTTAATATTTTTCAAGAATAATATTGGATGTAATAATAATGATGAGAATACTTGCACTCTATATTTATTATTTAAGCTAAAGCAAAAATCAACAGTTAATATTAAGATAAAACAAAAATCAACAGTTAATATTTTCAAAAAACAATGATATTGGCTGTAATAATAATGATGAAAATACTCACACCACCATTACACTATTTATTATTTAAAATAATATGAAAATCAACAGTTAATAAACAATGATATTGATTGTAATAATAGTGAAATGATGAGAATATTTACCAGCTATTTATTATTTAAGATAAAACAAAAATCAACAGTTAATATGTTTTCAAAAACAATGATATTAATAGTGAAATGATGAGAATACTTACATTCTATATTTATTATTTAAGATAAAATGAAAATCAACAGTTAATATGTTTTCAAAAACAATGATATTAGTAGTGAAATGATGAGAATACTTACTTCCTATTTATTATTTAAGATAAAATGAAAATCAACAGTTAATATTTTCAGAAAAACAATGATATCAACTGTAGTAATAATAATGATGAGAATACTTACACACTATATTTATTATTTAAGATAAAACAAAAACCAATAGTTAATATTTTCAGAAAAACAATGATATTGACTGTAACAATAGTGAAATGATGAGAATACTTACGTTCTATATTTATCATTTAAAATAAAATGAAAATCAACAGTTAATATGTTTTCAAAAACAATGATATTAATGGTGAAATGATGAGAATACTTACACTATTTATTATTTAAAATAAAATGAAAATCAATAATTAATATTTATTCAAAAATAATGATATTGACTATAATAAATAGTACAAAAATACTTACACGGCTATTTATTATTTAAAATCAAATGAAACCCAATAGTTAGTAATTTTTCAAAAACAATTATACAAATATAATGATATTATTGTAATAGTAAATATAATAATAAATGAAGTACATCTCTTCACCAAATTATTGTTATGAGTTGGGCTTGCTAAAGCCATGACAGCAAAGATAATCAAAAAGAGAAGAGAAATATTGAATTTCATTTTGATTTATTCAGATAATTTTTGTCAAGTTTTTCTTGATTTTCAAATTATATAGGATTACTGTAAGAGTATTTATAAAAAAAAAAATGAAAGCGAATTTTTGCTTTCAAATTGCATGCAGTTGTTATTGGAATTAGGATTTAAAGCTGATTTGTTGGTCGAAATACCCTAATTCCGAATCGAATCTTTTTATTTCTATTTATATTAATATCTTTATTTATTTATCCCTTATATTTCTTATTTAATTTCTTATAATAATAAACGTCATTTAATACTTTATATTAATATTTAGGGAATTGTTATTCGCACCCCACGCGATTAAGTGTAATAATGTGACGAATGAATGGCTTAGCCAAATAAATCGCTTAGCAAATGTCTTGATCAAATAAATCGTTGGTACTAATACTAAGCTTGCCGGTATTATTATTACTACTACTAACGTTATTATTATTATTATTATTATTTACTATTGTTATTATAATATCTCGCATTTAATGGTTCAAATTATTTGTTTTTTTTCATTATGAATTTGAGTATTCGAATTATATTGAAAGTTTTATTCGAATAAACGAATAAAAAAACGAATAATTCGAATAGAACGAATAATAATAATTCGAATTAAAATATGACTTTTATCCTGCTACGATATACATTTTGTATTTTGTATTTTGAGTAAATGTATGTTTTTTTTGTCATTCTAAGTGGATCCATCTCAACTAAATGTCTATGCCATTGAATTCTGCACTAAAATCCCAGACGT